CCGTACAGCCTTGCATTAGCTGTGAAATGATAAAAAACCAAGTTTCATACGTAGGATTACAGGTGCAACACTGCCTGTCTGGTCCCTTTGATATTGCCGCTAGTTTTTGCTAGTGGTATAACTTGAAAGTGACTTATTTTAGATTTAAAATTTTTCTTAAAGGATAGGGGAAAACGCATACTTGCCATAATTCGAACTTTTGTTGGTATGTGGTAGAAGACAGATTCACTTTATAAAACAGTGTTGTTTATAATTCAAGTTATTTTTATTTGTTCTAGGACTGAGTCATACAGGTCTTCGTTAAAGTGATTTCCTTCTCTTTTTCTTTTCTTTGTAAATAGGGGCTGAAATTACCGTATATTTTCTTAATTACATCTTTTGAGTAGTGGGTGGTGACATGTTTGAGCTTAGTAAAACTTCCTACGAGTAAGTTCCTGTAAGCTTGAATCAAAACATTTAAACATAATAGTTATTATGTTAGTATTATTATTAAGTTAATATGTTAAAAGTTATGTTTACTTGATGTTAGTTTATAGAATCTTAAAACAGTTTTCTGAATGAAGAAATGTAAATTAGAAATCCTGTGATTTGTATGAAGCAGAGGGCACATTTTCACTGAAACTCATCTTTTAAATTTCTTAATCTTATTAGAAAGTATTGCAAAACTCATTTTTGTTTTATTTGTTATCAAACTTCCAGTGAGAATCTCTGTAAGTGGGTCAGTAACGCTGTGTATGTTGGTGTTTGATATAAATATAGCTATTTGGTGTATAAATGTTATAATGCTATAATATGTTATATATTATATAATGGATATATGATACATATATAATGTATAGCATATTCAATAATTATGTATTATGATATATTATGGCATTACAATATATAGATATATTGTAGATTATATAATATAATGGTATAATATATAATTATATAATATGATATTATAATGTTATAAATATTAGGTAAGGGTTCCACAGTCTATTCTGTTTTCTCAGTTTCAAATACAACTACTAAATTTTCAGCAGCATGAGTCAATGAAACCTTAGAAACTTACAGACTGATAGAATGAAAAGCAGTGTAGACAGTTGAAGGGGAAGGTGAGGCTGGCGTCCCTGGGACATGCTGATGAACCTGCTGGAATTGATTAATTTTTGTGTAGGCTGCAGACTGCCTTTATACCCAGACTAAATATGGTGACTGCAGCTGTCTGGTCAACTTTCTAGTAAATACCATATTAAAGTCAGAGCGAGAGTAAGAAGGAACAGCCCATAGACAACAAAGAATGAGCCACCAGAGCTCGAGAGAAGAGTGCACAATATTTCATCATTTTGTTTAAAGAAGTGTGGCTGTGATGAAGTAGTCCAGGGGTGGAGTTGGGAGGGAGCTGAGCTGTTTGCAGACTTTAGGCATTGGACACATTGAGACAGGTAGGAGAGAGAGTGGGTGTGATGTGTGGCTCAAAATTGGTAAGTTATTTTGATGACTTTCCCTTCATATAACCCTTTGTGTGACCCTTCTCTTATTTCTGACCTCTAACCTGTGAGATGTCTCCGGATTCTGTTCTTAGCCCTCGTCTCTACACCATCTCTCTCCCCTGGAGTTGGCAAAGCTGTCTGTAAAGGACCAGATGGGAAATATTTTAGGTCACATGAGCTATCCACCCCTGTCATAACTGCTCAGTGCTGTGTTTTGGCACACTGCCTTTGGTGGCCAGAGTCAGATGACTGTGGCTATGGCTCTGAGTGAACCTACTATGTGTCTTAGTGTCAGGGGTCGTGTGTAAGTCCTAGGCTGTCACCATTAGTCTCAAGTCTTGAAGATGGCATTCACACGGCTAGCTTTGCACCCTGTATTTCTCCTTTACTACAAAGCACATTACGAATGAAACAGAAATCTTGATCACCTTTGTCTGCCCAATACGCTTATCTGTTTTGATCAAGTTAATGGAATTAGCATATTCATTGCCTCAGATATTTATTATTTGTGTGTAGCAAGTACGGGGGAAGCCTCTCTAGCTGTTGGAAAGTATGTGGTCCGTTCCATTAGCTGTGGTCACTAGCTTTCTCTGGAGCCTGTGTAACTGCTGTGATGTGCCTTCAGCTGACCTTTCCACACTCCTTCCCCTGTAACCCACTTGTCCCTTCTCTTACCTTTGTCCCATGTTGAGTCATTGGCATCATATCCTTTTGGGACATATCCAGCTCAGCTTTTGAAAAGTACCCAGAATACATTTTCTTTTCTGTCCATCCCCATCCTTGTGACATCACCCATGTCAACATCATCTTCAGGTGATCAATTGCAGAGGCCTCCTAATTCTTTCCCTTTGGTATACTTAACGTACTGAGGACACATTATGCCTTTTAAATAGCTCTGTTCAAGACCAGCATTCTTTCTGTTTTACTCAAAAGAATTTTGAAAACTAAGGATACAAGGTTCTTCATGTTCGGGTGTGAGACATTGCTCTTCATTCACTGCCAACCATTCTTTTGCCTTTGATTGTTGCATTCCTGCCTAACTGGCCTACTTGATGTTTCTCATCATCTTGTCTTTGATGCTCTCCTCGGCACCTTACTCCATATGTGCCAGACCCTCTCCCTCACTTCCTGCAGGCTGCTGCTGCCATGCTGCCTGTTTGAGAGACACCTCCTGGCCGTCCAGAGTCACCAACATTCACTCTTTACTTGTCCTGACGTGTTTTATAGTGCTTACCATTCCTGCTGTAGTTTATATATATTCATCACTTCTGTCTCCCACTGGGATATGTGCCAGGAAGTTAGAATATGTATTCTTGGCACATAGAATAATGTTTGGAAAGGCACATGTGTTCTGTAAATAATTACCAAATGAATGAATGTAAGGAAATAAGATAACCAGAAATCAGAAACATGAGAATTTGAATATTAAACATTAATGGGGTTGGTAGAGAGATGCCCCATTGGTTAAAAACTCCTGTTGCTCTTGCAGAGGACCCATGCTAATTTCTCAGCTCTCAGTTCCAGGGAATCTGATGCCCTCTACTGAGCTCCACAGGCACCAGGCGTGCACATGGTATGCATCACAACACCCACACCCAGTGTCATAAAAGTAAAAGTAACACAGCTCCAAACAAACACTAATGCACGTTCTCCTTCCCATCATGCTCTTCTTCAGCTTTGCCCATACCATGTCCCATGCCCTGCAGGAGTTACCTTGTTGCCAGGGTAGGGAAAGCCTGGAAAGGGGGAGAAATGGAATAGTAATAAGTTGTTTATTTGGTAACTACTGAATGCCAGCTAGGTGCTAACTGTAAGCATTTCAAGGGCTCAGATGGGATGGACAGGGATGGATTATGGCACTCAGGAGCCAAAGAATACTGGGTGTTACAAGCTTGGATGAAAAGGTATTCTGGCACTCAGGAGCCAAGGAATACCACAGGTCACAGTAAGCGTAGCAGCTTACAACCCTGCTTCAGGAGAGAGCTTCCCCAGTGAAGTTGTTACAGTTCAGCTCCGGAGTGTAACAACTTTGCTATGGAAGGTTTCCCCAGCAAAAAGTGTTACAGCCCAGCTCCCCTCTGCTCCGCCCATGTCTTCCCTGCCCTGGGTGACAGAAGGTCTCACCCAAACCTCATTTAAGAGATTTATTGGGAGGGAAGAATCCAGGAGAGTGACTGCCCTGTGCTAGGGTGGCAGAGGACAGCCTGGCAGCCTTAACAATCACAAGCTGATTTATATCGGGCTTCTTAGGGGGTGGAGTTTTTATAGGGTGGGGGTTGGTTAGATTTCAGTCCTGAGCTTAGGATGGCTAGATCTCCTGCACAGGCATTGGTTAGTTTTCTGCATGGGTTTCCGGTCAGATTTGGCTCTGGTTTCAGGGCTGAAGTGCGTTTCTTTCTCTGGCTCTGATTCCAGGGGCAAAGTGTGTTTCTTTGGCACTGGTTTCAGGGTCTGATGGAGGAAGTCGGTCTGTGTATATGTCAGTAAAGAACTGTTGGCCAATAGGGAAGCAAGATAGGTGGGACTAGGAGTCTAGGAGGATTCTGGGAAATGTAGTGAAGAGAGTTGTTGCCATGTGATCTCCCAGGAGCAAAGGGCACTCAGCAGTGCATCCTCAAAAAGATAAGTCCTTATAAAATATATATTAGTAATTATGTGTTAATAATCAAGTCAGACCTAGCCGATAGAAAACCAAACAAACTGCCAACAGCTTCATAATTAATTTAGTGTCTTGTGTGTTATTTGGGGGCTAAAACGCCAATGGGACACGGGCAGGAATCCCACTACAAGGGTCAGGGTGCATTTCTTTGGTTCTGGTTGCAGGGCCAAAGTGTGTTTCTTTGGCTCTGCTCAGGTTTGTTTCTTTGGCTGGCCCCTTTTCCCTACACTAGCTACCTTTTGCATGCAGGGAATTCAATAGAAATGTAACAAAACAGACAAAACTAAGAGCCAACAAGAACCCTTTCCCTCAGAATTTAACCTAGTGCTACTGGCTCATGAGCTGGGGTAGGAGGCGGGAGTAAAAGTTTAATAAAATAGCATCATTGTTACGTTGTCAACCTCTACTTTTATTGAACTGGAGTTAGAACTTACTGTCTGCTGTTTAGCCAGGTGTTTTGTGATAATTTTATTAATCGTTTATTTTAGCCTTTTGTCCCCGCATCTTGCCAGCTCCAGATGGACCTTTCTTCCTATGGGTTGCAGGTGGAAACTGTGGAATATACTGTTAATTTTCTTCTAAGGAAATTGATGTTAGGGTAGTCTAATTCACTTAGTAATGAGAGTGTTAGTCTACCTTAGCTGGTTTCTGCACCGGGTATTTGAAGTCAAGCACAATATTGAATTACATGATTTCAACAACCAAGTATGGGTAGTTGGCATATATTTCTCTCTTCAGGCTGGACCACGTTTTAAAAGTTGAATTAAAATGCTGAGGTGTAAAGTTAGCATTGCTAAAAGCATAAAAGTTGCCGCAAAAGCCGCATATGCATAGCTGTAATTCTGTTGCTTTTTCCTTTACAGAGAATGTAGCTGGTCACTACATTTCCCCTTTCCATGATATTCCTCTGAAGGCGGATTCTACAAAGGTATTGGTTTTACTTGTCTTGGAATTGAAAAGCTTCTTGTACATGATAGTATGAAAATGATACTTCACTACTGGCCTGAAAATCTTATATAGAAATGCCTTGAAAGTAAAGATTCGGTTGGCAGGCAGGAGAAGAAACCGAGGAGCTGGAACAGGACTGTGAGCCTCCTTTGTGGATTAAAATTTGTGGGCAGCCAGGAAAAGGGGTATTTGTGGTCTGTGAAGTTTAGGCTTTGGTAGGAACTAAAGAGATTCAAGGGCAGTAATGTGGGAAATTACCTGTTTTGAATCATAACATAGTTAACATTTGCGGGTGACTTCTGCGTGCTAGCCACCATGTGAATGTGTTATTTTCTTTAACCCATGCTAAATTGCCATAAGCTGCCCAAGGGCCGTGGGCTTTCTCACCACAGAACTCTTACCCATTACCACACTGTGAAGCAGAAACGGAAAGCTGGAAAAGCCTAGTGTTTCATTAGCTTTTCTCTTGAAAACCATTGACAGTCGGAAGGACTTTGTAGGGAGAGCTGAGGGAGCCTGAAGGCTGGGTACATGAAGGCAAGTGCTCAGTGCTCACCATGTGTTACTGTAATCCTGATGGCAGCTACTGTTACTCGCTTGCTTCTTGATGAGGTCCCATACCTTGCTCTTGGTCCCACATGTAGACCGTTGTGAAATGGGCTTCAGTTTAGATGTAGTGCTTATTAGCCTGTTACTTCAATATTCTGACGTACAGGGTGTTGTGAACTATCACATGCCTCTTGTCTGCCCATCACCTTCCTTTTGGCCAAAGGTGTGTGTGCAATGGTTTATCCACTCGGTGAATAATCGTCGCGCACTTAGTATCCACCACGTTTCTGTTTGCGGCACTGAGTGTGCAGCTCACCCTCAGTGGGAGGAAACGTACGGCTGTGGGAGAGATCAGTCAGATGGTGTTTATTACCGTAAAGCCGAATGGAGGAAGAAGCACTGACTATTTATGTAGTGTCCTCTATGGGGTTCGCCATAGCAAACGCGTAAACTGCATAACAGCAATGATGCCAAAGCTTCAGTTTATTTATTTTTTTTAATTTCGAAGTGGGTAGGGGTGTGTATCAAAGATAGACACACATCTGTGGGTGCAGCACTCTGCCTGTGGAATTTGAGGAGAAGGCAGGACAATTATAAGACAGAAGACCAGTGAATTCTAGAAGTGAAGGTGTGTGTGTGTGTGTGTGTGTGTGTGTGTGTGTGTGTGCGCCTGCACATGCTGAGGTGCACAGCATGTATATAAACTGGTTTCCCCGCCTTTGGAGCCAGTCATGATTGGAATTTTTGCACCTTGTGTCTTGGGATGTAAAGTTTTGAGAACAAGAAGAATGTTCCAGGACACTGTGACTTGGAATCATCACTTTCTGTTTAGTTTGTTTCTCCGCAGTCATTTCGGTGTGGAAGTGTTACATAGACCCGGTGAACATTTGTGAATGGCCCGGCCTTTCTTCCCACCCCACCGCGTAGTCGAGCTTAATTTAGGGATGCGCAGTGGAGGCAGAATAATCACACCTTGATAGGATTCACAGGCAGGAGGTGTAGCCAAGCACTTTCACAGCTTGTTAGTCAAGCTCCCGGGAGTTTCATTTCAAAAATGAAATGACTGTTTGAGACGCAGTCACTGGAACCTGCTGGTGTCTCTCTGCACACTTGGCGGCAGACGCTCTGCTTGCGTCAGTCAGGCAGACTTGGGAAGTTAGTGACGTGAAAGGGCTTTGGACTGTCTGATACTTAACTTTTACAGCACTTTGATCCCCTGTTCATTTGACACTGGGGATGCTAGGGACAGACATTACTGGCAGATTGTCTGCTGAGTCTGATTTCTAGGCAGCAGCTAATAAAACTCATGTGCAGTAGACGTGTTTTTTTTTTTTGGTTTTTTTTTTGCTATGCTGTGCACCCTGCATTCTTCTGTGAGACATTTGTTCCAATCACAATTACCATCTTTGCTCTTACAGGAAAATGGCATTCCCAGAAAGAAAGCACGAAATGATGAATTTAAGGTACCTTTTGAAGTTTCCATCGTTTGAATCCTTTAAAATGTTCTGCGGTCTGTGTGTGTGTGTGTTTGTGTGCATGCAGGTAGGTACTCATGGAGGCCAGAAAAGGGTGCCTGATCCCGTTCAGCTGGCATTACAGATGGTTGTGAGCCATCTGGCTTCAGTGCTAGGGACCCCATTTGGGTCCTCTGGAAGAGCAGCAAGCTCTTTTAACCAAAGGACCATTTCTCCAGTCTCATGAGTCCCTTATACTGTCTGTTAATGACCTTGGTGATAGTTTGCATTTTTAAACTGCTTCTGATTTTCCCCTGCAAGCTTTCCTGTAGATTTCGGTGTTTGTCTCATGTGTTTTAGCAAGCACAGTTGCAGTGCAATAAAGAACCACTGTTCTGTATGGGAGCTGGCATGCAGGCATGCAGGCACGCGAGGCTTTGTAGTTCCCAGAGATCTGGCATTTTAGTCATCTGAAGTGGTCTTTGTCTTTTCAGTGGGGAAAATATATTCCAAGTTCTGAGTGCCAGTTTAAAATTTAGTTCTTTGAGCCAGGCAGTGGTGGGGCGCACCTTTAATCCCAGCACTTGGGAGGCAGAGGCACACGGATCTCTGTGAGTTCGAGACAAGCCTGGTCTACAGAGCAAGTTCCAGGACAGCCTCCAAAACAATACAGAGAAACCCTGTCTCAAACAACAAAAACAAACAAAAAGAATTAATTCTTGTAACACATTATAGGTTGGGCACTGATTTGTATTTATCTATTACCTTATTTTTCCCCCCAAGGGGAAAAATGAAAAGAAAAGGACTAAAGGATGGGGTTAGGTTTCCCTGCCATATTTCTGATTTGAATATATATCTTTGATTTTCTGATAAATGCTGGTAGGCAGTTGTTGGCCTATTACTCACGCTAACCTTAGGAACACGAGAGCGGTCCTAGCTTTGATGAATCACACTCAGAGCACACTGTAGCTGGAGAGAAGAAGGGCGTGGTAGCATGAGCCCCGGGCCATCCAGTGCAAATGGTGACTGAGAGTGTGGCTTGCAGGCTCACGTTTCAAACCTGCACCTCACCTGTTGCGCTTTTGGCCCAACAGATAGATCTGTGCAAGTGGCCTCGGTGGGTGTCTTTGCACAGCCGTTAACTAGCACAGTCCCCTCTGTCATCACCTTGTGTTCATCCATCTGCGTTCACCCTTTTGTAGCCAGGCTTTCAAAGTTGAATACATTGTGTAAACAGCTGCCAGATAGTTAGGTTCCCGATGCTTTGCTGTGGAGTATCTTGAAGTTGGGCACATCTCCAAAGCTACAATGTTTTAGTGTTAGATTCAGTACATACACAAATTACTGTCAGTGAACTACAAATGTTTCTAAATCATCAGCTAACTCTGCAGACTGGTCGTGGGCCTGGGGTATGCTGTTTTAAACTATTGCTTCCCCTTGACCATGATTCATTATTGACATTAAGCTTAATTGCCTTACCTAATTTTGTAAGCCACCTTTAAATGTTAAGACTTTCTCTTTGTGAGGCAAGTTGTGGGCATTGTTTTTACCCACACTAACCTAGTGTCTCCTTCAAGCTAAGCAGTTTACAAAGTATAAAAGTGAGAAAAAGAAGCCATGGCCCTTTTGTAATGTTAAGGAATCTGAAGTCACTAACCTTGTTTTAGAAAGGCAAGTCTAACTCCTTGTAAACTTTCTAACTGCCTATAGTGATATCTTTGATTTTATATTATGATTAAAGCATGGATACAAATGTTCTTTTAATCATTTTCAACTGCCTAATTCTCTGTATGTGCTCCTTTAAATTGCATATCGATATTCTAACCACATTGCCATGAGTAGAGCAGAAGGGGTCATAGTATTTTAGTTGGAAAATAATAATCAAAACTCATTTTCTGCCAGGTGTGGTGGTGCATGTCCTTAATCCTAGTACTCACGTGGCAGAGGCAGGTAGATCTCTGTTTAAGGCTAGCCTGGATGCCATTTCTAGGCTAGCCAGAGCTACCTGGTAAGACTCTGCCTCAGAACAAATAAATGAAAGAGAACAAGTCTCCTTGCTCCCAGTATTGCCACTGCTCTGAAAAGTGCTTCCAGATGTTCAGTGCCCTTTGATGCTGTGCAGCGGTGGTCAGATGCGTGGTGCCTCTGAGTGTTAGGTGGCCTCTTTCACTGTGAGAAGGGTTTCAGAGCATGGATGGATATAGAAGGCAGGCACTAAACGTTGTGTGTGGGGGGTTAAAACCTTTTGCTATTGTTTTATTAGAGGCTCTACTTATTTTTATTTTAGCATACAGTCCTCCAGTGGAAAAAAGTAAAATAGAAGGTGAATAAAAATGTTAATGCTTTAACTTTTTTTTTAACTGCAGAATTTGTTTAATATGGTTGTGGAAATACCTCGGTGGACAAATGCCAAGATGGAGGTACAGATATATTCTATTAACATAAAATTGAAATGCTAACTTAATCGTATAAAAGCATCTTTTCTATCTACTTGGCATATTTGGAGGAGGGATGCCAGACTTCTTTATGTAGGAGATAATTTAAAACACTCTTGTGAGAGTAGACCTTAATTTCAAGAAGGAAATGGTTTGAACTGCATATTCACTTTGAAGAGTGTTTCCCCGTTTTTTTTTTTTTTTTTTTTTTTTTTAGGCACGCATTTATGTAATTTTCTCTGCCCTTTCCCTGACACGATGGCGAGCACTTTCAAGTTTCATTCAGGCTCTGCTCTGTATTTAGTTCAGACACAAGCAAAGCACTTTGTCTGGTGCTGACAGCAGTTTCGGTTTCTGGGGACTTAGTCCTTTAGAGTTTCACGTTGCCTGGGAACAGTGCCTTCTCCCGAATCTATGGATGTTATCTAAGAGCACCTAATGTAGCCCTTGCTAAATCTTTTTAAAAAACTGTTTGTGAATCTCTTCCATGGAGCACAGAGCTGTCAAGCATCCCTCTTCTGCTCATCATTGTCTGCGCTCTTCCTTCCATCAGATGAGTCCTTCGCAGTTTGAAGTGGGTTCTCAAGTGCGGTGCTTTGTTTCTTTACTTCATTGTCTTGTTTGTTTATCTTATATCAGATGTTTTTGTCCTTTTTCAATACTAATATGAATATGTTTGATAGAAAAATAGCTTTAAAATAAAGTCACCTGGCAAGGATAGCTTGGATTGAAAAATTACTGTAAATGAGCAATATATATTTATAAAATACAAATGTGATTTATGACTATGACATACAAATTAGATCAAGTTGATCAACATACAATCAGAAATATTTTTCTCTGGTGAGGTCACTTTAAAGTCTTACCTTCTTAGCAATTTTGATATGTGTGCTATCCTGGTAACTGTGTTCACCGCCCTGTACAACAACACTCAAAACACAACAAAATATTCCTGTCTAAAATATTTATACTCTTTGACTGTCGTCACCATTTTGTTCTGCTTTTTCAAATTGAAATTTGTTATTTTAATTCTATTTAATTATTAACTATAACATAGAAACATAAACATGATGGTGTGTTGCACTTAAGTGGATACATAATGTTTGAATAGTGTTAAGCGCATCTGTCTGTAAACATATAACTTGCACAGTGAATGCTTTCTGGGTCCCTTCTACTCTTTGAAGTACGTACACCCTTTTGTCTTCAGCTGTCCTCACGGTGTGCAGATGCACCAGCGCCTCTCCCCGCCTCCTGCTCTTTCGAGCTGCTGTTTGGCTCTCAAGCTCTCAGATGTCAACCTTGGAGCCTGTTTTCCTTGCCCTGTTTCCATCCCTTGGCTGTTGTGAAAGTGAGGTGCCATCAGATGTCAAGTTAGCATACTGACATCCTCTCCTTTGGCTATAGAGTTGGTTGTTCTGTCAGTTCTGTTTTCTGTTTCTCAGGTAACTTTTGTGGTGTTTTCCTTGATGGCTGTATTAATTTCTGTTCCTTTAACAGTGTACCAGGCTATCCCCTCAACAGTGTACAAGGCTATCCCCTTAACAGTGGACAAGGCCATCCCCTCAACAGTGGACAAGGCTATCCTCCCTCAACAGTGTACAAGGCTATCCCCTCAACAGTGTACAAGGCCATCCCCTCAACAGTGTACAAGGCCATCCCCTCAACAGTGTACAAGGCTATCCTCCCTCAACAGTGTACTAGGCTATCCTCCTCAACAGTGTACAAGGCCATCCTCCCTCAACAGTGTACAAGACTATCCCCTCAACAGTGTACAAGGCCATCCTCCTTCAACAGTGTACAAGGCTATCCCCTCAACAGTGGACAAGGCTATCCCCTCAACAGTGGACAAGGCTATCCCCTCAACAGTGTACAAGGCTATCCTCCCTCAACAGTGTACAAGGCCATCCTCCCTCAACAGTGTACAAGGCTATCCCCTCAACAGTGTAGAAGGCTATCCTCCCTCAACAGTGGACAAGACTATCCCCTCAACAGTGTACAAGGTTTTCCCCTCAACAGTGGACAAGGCTATCCCCTCAACAGTGGACAAGGCTATCCCCTCAACAGTGGACAAGGCTATCCCCTCAACAGTGTACAAGGCTATCCTCCCTCAACAGTGTACAAGGCTATCCTCCTCAACAGTGTACAAGGCCATCCTCCCTCAACAGTGTACAAGGCCATCCTCAACAGTGTACAAGGCTATCCTCCCTCAACAGTGTACAAGGCTATCCCCTCAACAGTGTACAAGGTTATCCCCTTAAAAGTGGACAAGGCTATCCACTCAACAGTGTACAAGGCTATCCCCTCAACAGTGGACAAGGCTATCCCCTCAACAGTGGACAAGGCCATCCTCCTTCAACAGTGTACAAGGCTATCCCCTCAACAGTGTACAAGGCTATCCTCCCTCAACAGTGGACAAGGCTATCCCCTCAACAGTGTACAAGGCTATCCTCCCTCAACAGTGTACAAGGCTATCCTCCCTCAACAGTGTACAAGGCTATCCCCTCAACAGTGTACAAGGCCATCCTCCCTCAACAGTGTACAAGGCTATCCTCCCTCAACAGTGGACAAGGCCATCCTCCCTCAACAGTGGACAAGGCTATCCCCTCAACAGTGTACAAGGTTATCCCCTCAACAGTGGACAAGGCTATCCCCTCAACAGTGTACAAGGCCATCCTCCTTCAACAGTGGACAAGGCTATCCTCTCAACAGTGTACAAGGCCATCCACCCTCAACAGTGTACAAGGCTATCCCCTCAACAGTGTACAAGGCTATCCTCCCTCAACAGTGGACAAGGCTATCCCCTCAACAGTGTACAAGGCCATCCTCCCTCAACAGTGTACAAGGCTATCCCCTCAACAGTGTAGAAGGCTATCCTCCCTCAACAGTGGACAAGACTATCCCCTCAACAGTGTACAAGGTTTTCCCCTCAACAGTGGACAAGGCTATCCCCTCAACAGTGGACAAGGCTATCCCCTCAACAGTGGACAAGGCTATCCCCTCAACAGTGTACAAGGCTATCCTCCCTCAACAGTGTACAAGGCTATCCTCCTCAACAGTGTACAAGGCCATCCTCCCTCAACAGTGTACAAGGCCATCCTCAACAGTGTACAAGGCTATCCTCCCTCAACAGTGTACAAGGCTATCCCCTCAACAGTGTACAAGGTTATCCCCTTAAAAGTGGACAAGGCTATCCACTCAACAGTGTACAAGGCTATCCCCTCAACAGTGGACAAGGCTATCCCCTCAACAGTGGACAAGGCCATCCTCCTTCAACAGTGTACAAGGCTATCCCCTCAACAGTGTACAAGGCTATCCTCCCTCAACAGTGGACAAGGCTATCCCCTCAACAGTGTACAAGGCTATCCTCCCTCAACAGTGTACAAGGCTATCCTCCCTCAACAGTGTACAAGGCTATCCCCTCAACAGTGTACAAGGCCATCCTCCCTCAACAGTGTACAAGGCTATCCTCCCTCAACAGTGTACAAGGCCATCCTCCCTCAACAGTGGACAAGGCTATCCCCTCAACAGTGTACAAGGTTATCCCCTCAACAGTGGACAAGGCTATCCCCTCAACAGTGTACAAGGCCATCCTCCTTCAACAGTGGACAAGGCTATCCTCTCAACAGTGTACAAGGCCATCCACCCTCAACAGTGTACAAGGCTATCCCCTCAACAGTGTACAAGGCCATCCCCTCAACAGTGTACAAGGCTATCCTCCCTCAACAGTGTACAAGGCTATCCCCTCAACAGTGTGCAATGCTATCCCCTCAACAGTGTACAAGGCCATCCCCTCAACAGTGGACAAGGCCATCCTCCCTCAACAGTGGACAAGGCTATCCTCCCTCAACAGTGGACAAGGCTATCCTCTCAACAGTGGACAAGGCTATCCCCTCAACAGTGGACAAGGCTATCCCCTCAACAGTGGACAAGGCTATCCTCCCTCAACAGTGGACAAGGCTATCCCCTCAACAGTGTACAAGGCTATCCTCCCTCAACAGTGTACAAGGCTATCCTCCTTCAACAGTGGACAAGGCTATCCTCCATCAGCAGTATAGGCTTTCCTTCCCTGCATCTTTACTAGCACTTAGTGTCTGTAGTCTTTTTGATTATAGTCTTTCTTACTAGAGTGAGGTGAACCTGCATTGTGGTATTGTTATTAAACATTTGTGTGTGTGTAAATAGGTGGACAACCTTTGGGAGTTGGTTCTTTCCCTCCATTGTGTGATGTACCTGGTACTCCAAATGTAGGCTTTGACATCAAATGCCTTTGCTGTCTGAGCCATCTTGCTGGTCTCCTCATTATTGTTTTGACTGGAATATTCCTGTTAGATATAGTGACTATTTTTTTTTCTCATTCTTGTTGACCATTTGCATATCTTCTTGAGAAATAAGTCTACTGCCCCCATTTTATAATTATACTTTTTGTTTATTTGCTTTGTTTTTCTGGTTAGCTATTTAGTTTCTTGCATATTTTGGCTTTTAAACTCTTGTCATATGTATGATTTGAAATGTATTTTCTCCCATGATGTATATTGTAGATTTTTTAAAAACTCTTTGGTGGGGGTGGGGAGTGGGGAGGTGGGGAGGTGGGAGGGTGCCACCCATTCCTAAATAATCCCCCAGAGACTTATTCTTTCTTATGACTGCCCGGCCTTAGCTTGGCTTATTTCTAGCCAGCTTTTCTTAATAACCAGGTCATCCTTCTGTCTGTAGGGTTTTATATTTCTCCATTCTGTATACCTTTCTTTCCTTCTTATTCTGCTGCTTGCTGTGTAGCTGCCCCTGATGTCCTCCTCTCCTTCTTTTCCCACCCCTCCCTCTTCTCTTTTTCTCCTCCTATTTATTTTTTCTGCCTGGCATCTCCGCCTGTCCCTCTCCTGCCTAGATAGTGGCCATTCAGCTCTTTATTAGACCACTCAGGGGTAGACAGGTAAAGCATCAGAGTGAAGCAAATGCATCATAAAGAATGCCACACATGTTTGCATCATTAAACAAACATCCCACAGCTTAAACAATATGCACTAGTATATTGTGTCCTTATTCTGTTGGTTGTTTCCCTTGCTGTGCCGAAGCTTTTCAATTTGATGTAATTCCATTTGTCTATTTTTACTTTAATTGCCTGTGGTTTTGTGGTCCAATCCCAGAAGTTGTTGTCCACACCAGTTTGTCCTTTCCTTCTGTTTTCTCATTGGGCAGTTTCCGCCTTACATTTCAAGAATCCGTCTTCAGTTGGTTCTTCCACGCATGCTTAGGCTATTTTCCCACTGTAGCTTCTTCAGGAGTGTGGTCTTTTCCTGTCGTGTGTTGCCAGCACCTCTGCTGAAACCTTCTGTATTCGCTCTCACCTGTCTGTTTCGGAATTTGACTTTGTTGTGTGGTTGGGAATTGATAGTGATATTTTTTCTCTTTGCTCATAATTGCCATAGCATTTTAGGATGCGTGTGTCTGTGTATTTCCATGGAAACTTCAAGGTTTGCTCTTTCTATCTCTGTTCTTTTTAAATGAACTTTGGAACTTTGCTGTGGGTTGCAGTGATCCTGAATCATCTCCTTCAATCCAATGCTGGACATCTTTCCTTTTGTGTCTCCTTTGATGTTTTTCAGTAGGAACAAATATTCCTTTTCCTCCCTTAAATTTATTCCCAAGTGCTCTGAGTTTTACTGCTGTTTTGCTGTAAATAGGATAGTCTCTTGATTTCTGCTTTGAACAGTTCATTGGTAGCATACAGAAATCCTGGGGTGGGGATTGTGTGTTGATTTTATATCCTACAAATTTACCACAGTCATTTAGTAATCGCTCTCTCTCTCTCTCTCTCTCTCTCTCTCTGTGTGTGTGTGTGTGTGTGTGTGTAACCTTAAGTGCTTTCTACATATGTATTTGTGTTGTCAGTAATCAGTGATAACTTTAGTCCTTCTTTTCCTGTTTAGATGCATGTGTGAGCCTGTCTGTGTGTGTGTGTGTGTGTCTTTGGGTGTCTGTGTGCAGGAGCTACAGAGGCCCTAGAGGGTGTTGGGTGTGCCTCTCTATCATTCTTTGCTTGTTCTGCCAGGTAGCATCTCTTCCAGAACATAAAGTTTGTGTGTCCTCTACACTGGGAGTCAGTGAACCCCAGTGGTCCTACCTCCACCACACTCAGACCTGGGTTCTCAGTGTTTGCAGAGATACCTGGCTTGTTACATGGGTTGGTATCTGAATTCTGTGGTTCATATGATTGCAGAGCGAGCGCCCTTAACCTTGAGGCCATCTCTAGATGCTCACCATATAGATAAACACCTTTGAGTTAGCTATAGTATCATAAGACTGTTGGCAGTAAAAGCCCCAAGAATAGCAACAACAATAACAAAAATATTGATTAACTTTTACTCCCCTGCTTTCCATTCATCTTACTGTTTTCATTGGAAATAATGCAGTGTACAAAAAAATTTGAGCCTAAATATATAATCCAGTGTCTTCTTTCCAGGTGTGTTTTTTTACGTGGTATATGTTAACTGCTAATAAGAATTGATGTAATTCACCCTAAATCACCTTTGATTATTAAGTTGGGATGTGAGTATTTGGACGTATTATGGTAGATTTAAAATCTGTTCTTTGTATACAAGCCTAATCATTGCATTCCTCTCCCTGCCTTCCCTTGTGTTCTGCCTAGATTGCTACTGAGGAGCCACTGAACCCCATTAAGCAAGATGCAAAGAATGGAAAGCCACGCTATATACCAAATATCTTCCCTCACAAGGGCTATATATGGAATTACGGGGCCCTCCCTCAGGTAACATCCCTGTTACAATGGTAAACTTTTATGTCTTCTCAAGAAATCACTGTAAGTCTTATGAGCTCCCTGAATTTAGATTAGTTCCTAGAACATACCAGTTTCAGAGATTTGTGACTTTCAAATTTTTAACGTGGCATTCAACTGTACCAGTCAACTTTACTTCAAACCATATGTAGTCATCACTCCGGTTCTTGGAGTCGGGCATGTAGAAGATTGACAGTTGACGTTTCAGCACATCTCTTTTTGTAGGCTTAGCTGTTGTCAATGAAAAATTCTGAGCAAATCTCTATCTAGCCATTCCTTTCACGTGCTCTCGTTTGCATTTCTGTATGTCAGGATGCATTTTTTAAAAAATAAATCTAACAGATGAATTGAGTTACATCACTGATGGAACTCTGTGCTTTAAGTCTGGGATCCAGACTGGAAGACAAGGAGGTCAAGGCACGTGTGATGGCATCCTCACTCCTGATGCGGAACCATGTTGCTCTCTTGCCCCTTCACTTACCCCTCAGTTTCCTCACCATCCGAAGCAGCAGCTCTTGCTGATTACTTAGTGGTCAAAACTCAGTCTGTCTGCTCCAAAGTCTGGGCTTTGGAGACGTAGAGGAGCATTTTCCCTTTATGATCATAAGCCCCATTCAATCATCAGCTGTGTGGCAATTTAATGTTTGTACTTTTATGTATTTTTAATTACATGAAAATTTACATGGGGGACCGCGTAGGAAAAGGACAGCTGAAAAAAACAGATGTCAGGTTAGATAAACACTCACATGCAAAGAAAGGAAAATTGTTCTTCGTAGATCCCGTTTCCCTTTGATGAAGCTGGCCACCCACTTGGATGCAACAGGGAAAGGTTAAAAACAGGTCCATTGGGCTTAGGGGATTATGGGAGAGGGGCTGCGTGGGTGAAAGAGGGCCAAAGGAGCTAGCTAGTTACGGGCAAAAGCAGAGACAGGCCACGTGGAGCAGTTCGGGACTACACTAATGTTCATTTCTTGAGCTGCTTCTTGAGGGTGATATGCTAAGAGACAAGGGTATGAAAACTGGGAAGTGGACATGAGGTCCCACCTAGTGATGAGTGACTGAGTGGGTAGGCTGGAGAGCCTGGCCGTCACGCCAGTACCGTGACCTTGAGATGGTCTGCAGAGCAGAGAGCGTGCGCACGTGCCGCACGTGGCTGTGCCGCGTGCTGCATGAGACAGCTTCATTAGACTAGTGTGTGATGGACAGCACCCTGGATCAGTAGCCGTTATTTTATCTTGATGATTAGCCCTCGGGGCAGTGGTCATCAGCCCTCCTAATGCTGCGGTGAGCCCCAACCATAAAATTATTTTCATTGCTACTTTATAACTGTAGCTTTGCTACCGTTATGAACTGTAGTCTAAATATTTTTGGAGATAAGAGATTTGTCAAGGGGATGCTCAGCCCTCAGGTCGAGGACCACTGTATTAGAGCAATTGACAAGGAAGTCACTGGTTAAATGTAGCACAGTTAGCGCTGCTAACTCGGACTGATTCTATTCTTTTATTAAAAGTAGTAATAAAGCAAATCTGGGCATGGTAGCCCATACCTGTAACTTCAGCACTTCGGAGGCTGAGGAAAGAGGCTTATTGAAGCCGGCCTAGGTTATATATAGTAAGGCCTGGTCTCAACTCTACACACCACTCACCCCAGCCCTGCTAAAATTAGCAAGCGAACCAAACACAGCAGATCTACTGATGAGAAGAGGAGAGGGTGTGACTGATGACTGAAACCGGGAGGCCCTTCTGTGGTTCTGTTTAAAGAACAGGTGTGTTTTTGTGCTGCTATGGGTGTGTGTGAACTCTCAGGGTGTTCTTACCTGCCCGGGTCTAGTCTGTGAGATACAGTTGTTCTTTCTGTGGAGGGTACCTTTGAGACAGAGTTCCTCTCTGTAGTCCTGGCTGTCCTGAAACTCACTCTGTAGACCAAGCTGGCCTTAAACTCAGAGGTCCAATAGCCTCTGCCTCCAAATTCTGGGATTAAAGGCATGTCCTTTCTTAATTCAAGTGAATTAAACTGGGGCCATGTCTTAATTTACTGTGTACTGTGCATTCTCCATTACGTAATTTTCATACTCCAATCGACACTTAAAATGATGTTTTAGAAACAAAGATCTGGCTAGCACTTGGGAGGCAGAGGCAGGGGGAACCTCTGTAAATTTGAGGCTAGCCTGATCTACAATACAGACTTGTAGGACAGCCATCTCTATGACAACGAAGTCTGGTAATGTTTCCTCATACAGGAACCTTGGAGTGGTTTTGTATTGATAGGAGACTAAAGTCTGAAGCGCTTGGCCTGCTCTTTGCCCTGTAAGACTCCCTGGAAGGCCCCACCTTCCCCACTCTGTCCCTGAGGTTGTCTGCTGTTCTGATCTCTGGCCTCCACAGGCCTCTTCACTCGGCAGACACTCACTGTTCTGATCTCTGGCCTCCACAGGCCTCTTCACTCGGCAGACACTCACTGGTGCTTGCTATTTGCCAGGGATTGTTCTTGTTCTGAGTACAGGTATAGAAAGGATAAAATTCCTTGAGAACTTTTATTCCAGACAGAAAGTCAGACAGTAAACAAAACGGTGAAATGTCAGACGGTTAAAAATATCGAAGAAGGGGCTGGGGAGGTGGCTCAGTGGTTAAGAGCACTGGCTGCTCTCCCAGAGGTCCCAGGCTCAAATCCCAGCATCCACTTGGTGGCTCACAACCATCCAAGTCCCAGGGGATCAAGTGCCCTCTTCTGGCCTCCCGGGCACCGGCCACACACTTGTCTACACGTGCATACATGTAGACAAGACAGCCATCCACACACAATGAAGACAGTTCATTCTGAAAAAAGGATCTGAGAGGAAAGTAAGGCAGGGAATTAAGCTATGGGGTGTGAAAGGAGTGTTTCCATTTAGACAGCCAGAAGAGCCCCACGCACTGCCATTGTCTGGGTAAAGAACTAAAAGGAACAAGGGAAGGAGTAGAGTGGACATTCTGAGTGCAGCCATGGGAAACTGTGCCTGGTGTGGGCCTGAGTTGGTGGAGGCTGAGCGTGTCCAGGAAACGAGATGAGTTAGGTGGCTAAGGGGAGGCTGGGCATGGAACGGACCACATCTGTCCTTCCTTCCATTTTCAGCCAGAGAGACTCTTTTAAACCCCAAGCTGGTTGTGTGTGTGTGTCTGTGTGTGTGTGTGTGTGTGTGTGTGTGTGTGTGTGTGTGTGTGTGCACATGGGTGCGCACTCAAGTGTGCTTCACTGAGTACAGTGTTACTAAAGATTGCATATGTTAGTTATCTCCCACATAAAAATAACTTAATGGGACTTTTTTAAAAGCTGAGATTGCAGAGACTGCTCATGGCAAGGGATAGTCCTACATAATATCTTTTTTTTTTTTTTTGTCTCGTTATTGATCAGACAGCCTTTAGAGGGAAAGCCAGTTACTGGTCCCTTGTGAGGCTGTCTCCATCTTTCCTCTACACCCTCCTCCCAGCTCCTCCCTCTTCTTCATCCCAGCCCGCCCTCCAGCTGACTCCCTTTCCAGCTCGCACAGCTGGAATGTTTGCTCTAGTGCAAGCCTTTGTGATGTCTCTCAAGCTGTAAATCTTTCACCCTGCCTCATGAACTTTACTATTCCCATGCGTTACTCCTTCCTTTCCTAAATACCCACCAAATTATAACTGACTGTAACTCATCCTGTTCACTGTCAGTTTCTTGAAGGTGGAATGCAGGAATTCTGGTTTATTGGTGCTTATATTTCAGTGGACCAATTTGATTCTCGATACATTGAACTGATTATCAGTAATTTTGTGTTTGTTTCATGAGGCTCACTGAAAACACTTTCCCCAGGCTTCCAAAGTCCTAGAATTACAGGAATGTAGCACTGTGCACAACAGTAACATCTTGGGATGCATAAGTTAATGACTTCCTTGAGGGGTGTTTGCCTCATAGGTACATGTCTTAGTATTTCTAATGCTGCCAAAATACCATGACCAAAAAGCAAGTTGGGGAGAGAAGGGTTTATTTGGCTTACACTTCTATATTGCTGTTTGTTATTGAAGAAAGTCAAGACAGGAACTTAAAACAGGGCAGGAACCTGGAGGCAGGAGCTGATGCAGAAGCCATGGAGGGGTGCTGCTTACCGGCTTGCTTCCCCTGGCGTGCTCAGCCTGCTTTCTTTTAAAAATATTTGTATTGATTCCTGGTGTATTTCACATTATTCATCCCAGTCTCACTGGTCTCCCAGTCCCCTTGCATCCACCCTCTGCCCTTGCAACCTCCCCCGGAAAACAAAACAAAACTTCTCGGTGTGGAAGCCGTAGCGTGGTCCAGTGAGTCACACAGTAAACCCTTTACTTGTCAGTGTTGGTTGCTATGAGTCTTTTGGTCTGGTCTGAGGCCTCTGGCTTCAGCTGTGAGTTGATAATGGGCCTTCGCTGAGATGCCCCGCTGTCCTGTGTCATGGAGTTGCTGCAGATTTAGATCTGCATGCTCAGCCCCTTCACGTGCTCCTGCAGCTCACAGATGAGGTGGATGCTGGGATGGCCCGGTTCTGGGCCTGGGTGGCAGCTGGGTTGGTCGGCGTCCTAGCTTTCCCTCTTTGTCACCACCTGGGTGAGCTCTCCAGCACTGCCCTGGCTAGCTCAGCCAATGCAGCAGGCAGCAAGCACCGGGACCCATCTCCCACCACAGGGGCCAGCTCTACTGGTTTTTTTTTCCAGACAAGGTGCAGGGCTTACTTTCCCAGTTGTTGTAGGGAGCGTGTGGGGGAAGGGGGTTGCCATCTCTCCTGCTCTCATGCCCTCAGCTGACTCAGCTGGGGGGGGCACCACCAACAGGGCCAGCTCTACTTTGCTGTCTGGGTGAGGCAGGTGCAGGCCCTGCTCTCCCCCCAACCACAGGCGGTGAGGGGGGTGAGGACAGGGGAGGTCTTCTCTCTCCCTCACCCACATCTCCTAGATCCCTCGCGTGTCATTCCCCCTTCCCCCCAATCAATATGG